TGCAACGTAAAAAATATATTATTTATTCAAATACGATAAAATATATTATATATTATTTCTATTAAAAATAAATAAAGAAAATAGGTAAATTATTTGTTTTATTTGTAGAATTCATTTCTTCCTAATATATTATATAAGATTGTCTATTTATTCCTACTTCCAAAGTGGCAACTGCGCGAGGCGACATTATTCCGTGAAGAGGACGAACAATGCATCCATGAACCAAAGATGAAGAATCTACTTCGAATTCGATCTCAACGTACTCAAAATTACGTAAGAAAGCTACTGTTTTCGTTGGCAGATTAAGCGGAATTTCACCAATATTTATAATATCCTTAATAAAGCTAACTTTGGGCATAGATACTGGAATGCTTATTCGTATAGTATTATAACTGCTATTTTCACATTTCATTATCAATTCCGCAGAATTGGATTTTGAAAAATCAGGCTTGTAATATATATAAATGAGCAATGAAGCATTTCCACGGACGACACCTGACATTGGCTCGACAAAGAAGCAACTTGTGCTTGGTATTTCCCATCTGATTTGAAAATTTGAAAAACAAAATTTTTAAATATTTTATAATGCTTACTATATATTATTAATAATAATATCTATATAATCTTAATAACATTTATATTAAATATTATAACGAAATATCTTAGTTAGACGATGTTAACATATATTTCGTGTAAAAATAAAAAAACTAATTTCTATTTAACACTCTAATATAGATATAATATAGATATTATAATTATAAAGACCAATGATAAAAAATTATAAATACTTTTCGCGATGCAAGCGAAACTATTAATTATGTAAAATGTTTATTTAATATTCATTATATGTTAGTTATGTATAAATTCGTTTTTCATTATATTTTAATGAAAAAGTTAATATATTTTTTTATTCGCATCGTTATCTTTATATTTATAATCATAAATAAAATTGCTTTATTTTACTAATTTTATTCAAATAATATATTCTTACTGAAACTTTGTTTTTGCATCCAATTTATTTCTAATCTGAATAGCACAATCCATTGGTCGATAGATTTCTTCCTTTAACCAATCTTGACCAAGTGTAATTTCTCGAGTATCTAATGATAACTGTTTTTCAACAATATTGGCAGTAACGCTAAGTTCAAACGAATGATTGTCGTTAATAATATAATCGATATAACCATTAAATTTGCCAATATGATATGCACGAAACTCGACTAATCGCGTTGCGATTAAACCAGGTGGCAAAATAATTAAATTCCCTTCCGGGAAATTAATAAATTTAGATAAACTCGTAAAGCGAATCATAATTGAAAAATCATTTAAATTTTCTACAATTAATTGTTTATAATTACGACTTCTGGGAACAATCTGTAATAAAGTGTATAATTCTATATATCTTTTTTTAAATAAATAAGAAATATTAACAAAAACATTTTGAAGAATATGAGATAAAGATAGACTTGTTTTAATTTTTTAAAAATGTCAATAAAAAATTTACCATTCCAAAAGCGAATAAAGTAGGATACATGCGTACGTTGTATATTTGTAAAGGAGTTAAAGGTATTAATACTTCGGTACTAGTCGATAATTTTTTAACCGAAGTATAGCAATTCACTGTTTCTGATACTTTTTTATGTTTCCACTTAGGAATATAAACAACTTTTTCCATAATTTCTTCGTTATCATCGTGTTTTTCGTGTATAATATCTTTTCTCGACTTCGATTTTATCTTGAAATAAAATATCGATAATAAATCGATATTTTAAATGAATTAAGATACGTAATACAAAATAAAAAAGATATATCTTTTATCATAAGAATGTGAATATAAATATATCGAAATATAAAAAACAATTCGTTTGACGATAGATTATAGAGAATGTTCATATAAAGTTGATAAAATTTAAAGGTATTTTTACAAGCTAAAAATAAAATGAATATAAAGAAGGAATGAAAAAATTATGTGAAAAAAAATGAAAAAAAATATATTTTTTATTTCATAATTTATTTTATAATATTTAATCAAATTTTAATTTGTAATAATCTTCAAATTTTTTGATATTTGTATAACAAAATAATAAGACATGAGATTTCATTATAGATTAAAATATAAGTATAAAGTATACTATATTTCATCATGAAAATTAAATTTTTTTTGGCTGTTTGGATTTGTATATTATTACATAAATAATGTAACTTACTGTAAGAAAATGTGACAATGGCATCTTCCGAGTATCTTTTGGGAGTTTCCGTATATCTGTAAGAAAATAATAATATATAATATGCAGTTATGATTATTATACATATTTTAGAAAAGATAATTTATTATATCAATTCACAAAACTAACATTCGATATTTCGATAAAACATATATATATATATTATAATATATTAATAT